GAGAGGCTGTGATGCACCGCCTGCCTCCAGGCTGAATGTTGAGATGTCAGGGTTTCCCATCTGTTGAGGTCCATTCCTAAGGCCTTCAGATCCAGCTTGCAGATATCCTTGTATCGCAGCTGTGGGAGGATTTCCCTGCACTAATGGGTGATTAGCAAGCTGACTTACCAGGTGGCGGGACATCACAAAAGGACAGATGCTAGGACAGCGCGGCCAATAGCAGCTTCAGCTTTGGCCCAGACAGTAATGAGCTGCAAACGTGGATGGCGTGGCCCATGTGGCTGCTTTACAGATGTCTGTCAAGTCCACTCCTCTGAGGAAGGCTGTGGAGGAAGCCACAGCTCTGGGTGATTATCAAGCTGACTTACCAGGTGGTGGGACATCACAAAAGGACAGATGCTAGGACAGCGCGGCCAATAGCAGCTTCAGCTTTGGCCCAGACAGTAATGAGCTGCAAACGTGGATGGCGTGGCCCATGTGGCTGCTTTACAGATGTCTGTCAAGTCCACTCCTCTGAGGAAGGCTGTGGAGGAAGCCACAGCTCTGATGGAATGGGCCCTTACTCTACATGGCAAAGGAGTCTTGGCCAGCTCATAAGCCAGGTGGATTGCGGAAACTATCCAACGAGAAATTGTCTGTGAAGAGACCGGCGAACCCCTTGACTGTCCGTGGAAGGACAGAAACAACTGCTGGGATGAGCAGAAGGCGGCAGAGCGAGAGACACAGTATTCAAGGGCTCTCTTAACGCCCAGAGAGTGAGCGGCCTGTTCCAGATTAGATGTAGGGGACAGAAAAAATGGTCAGCAGGACTACTTGCTGGTTTAGGTGAAAACTTGAGGCCACCTTCGGGAGGAAAGATATATCCGGGAACAGAGTCACCTTATCTGGTGAAATTGGAGGAAGGGTGGATCGACGCGAAGGGCGGCAAATTCATTAGACCGCCTTGCAGAGGTAACAGCTAGAAGGAATGCAATTTTCAGTGACAGGGTCTTATCTGATGCGGTGACAAACGGCTCAAAAGGTGGACCCATGAGCTTGCTGAGGTTGCTGGATGGACCATTGAGGATGAGCTTGCTGGATGGACCATTGAGGAGTGGGAGGTTTGGAAGGGGGGGCGCAGATTTTTCAATCCACACAAAAAACTCTTGAGCGTTGGATGTCTGAAAAACCCCGCCGCCTCGGAGGAAGGTGGATGGTGGGCCCCTATCACAGCTACATAAACCCTGAGAGTGGAATAAGAGAGGCCCTGACGAAAGAGGAGGAAGAGGAACTGCAGCACCGCATCCAGTGAGGTAGGCAGAACAGGAAAACCATGTGCAGAGGAAAATGCCAAAAATGCCTTCCATTTGCAAGGATACATGAGGGTTGTGGAACTGCATCACGCATGCCCGAGGACATCAGGTACTGTGGGAGCAGCCTCCAGGCTGTGAGGTGCAGAGATTATAGGTCTCGGTGAAACATTGTATCATTGTGTAGGAAGCAGAGGTCTGGGAGCAGTGGGAGAACCATGGTTGGTGCAGCCACCAATGAATGGCAGATCCTCAGTCCTGGCACAAGCATCATTGCATATGCCGTGTATCACACATGCCAGAGGACATCAGGTACTGTGGGAGCAGCCTCCAGGCTGTGAGGTGCAGAGATTATAGGTCTCGGTGAAACATTGTATCATTGTGTAGGAAGCAGAGGTCTGGGAGCAGTGGGAGAACCATGGTTGGTGCAGCCACCAATGAATGGCAGATCCTCAGTCCTGGCACAAGCATCATTGCATATGCCGGCTGACCTCAACCAAGCGTGTTGTTGAAGAGATATCACTGAGGTAACTTGTTTGGATGCAGCAAACTCTGTGGAGTTGGCAGTGGTAAGCACCCATCGCCGCCGAGTAATCAGCCACCCTGAGTACGAAAGATGCTAAGGAATAAATCCGCCTACCAAGGATATTCAATTTTCAACCTTCTTTGTTGTTAGCTATGGTGGCCGACTGGTTCCTAGCCCTATTCTGGGTAGCATCCACTACAAACAAATTGGGAAGAGGATGCTTGGAGAAAAACTCTGTTCCAGAACCATCTTGTACAAGTTTTCCACCATTCTGGGTAGCTGATAAGGGGTAGGCTTGTACTGTTCCAAATGTGTCTTGTACAAGTTTTCCACCCTTCTGGGTAGCTGATAAGGGGTAGGCTTGTCCCAAGGTTCTTTGGCAAGTTTCAAAAGAGAGGAAGTGAAAGCCATGCGAAGAGGAAGGGACTGGTCCTTTGTAATGTCCTCGTACACTTTGTCCACCTCCTACGCAATGGGCTGATCCACTGCCAGATCCTTAACTTTAGCAAATGTGTCTTGTACAAGTTTTCCACCCTTCTGGGTAGCTGATAAGGGGTAGGCTTGTCCCAAGGTTCTTTGGCAAGTTTCAAAAGAGAGGAAGTGAAAGCCATGCGAAGAGGAAGGGACTGGTCCTTTGTAATGTCCTCGTACACTTTGTCCACCTCCTACGCAATGGGCTGATCCACTGCCAGATCCTTAACTTTAGCAACCCTGCGTATCAGGTGCAAATAGGATGTATAATCCTCAGAGGGAGAAGGTGGGTGGTTCTCCGCAACCGTCCACCTCCTCCGCAATAGGCTGATCCACTGCCAGATCGTTAACTTTAGCAATCCTGCGTATCAGGTGCGAATAGGATGTATAATCCTCCGAGGGAGAAGGTGGGTGGTTCTCCGCAACCTCGGAGTCTGGCATGTTTACATTTGGAGATGAGTCTTTCTCAGGCTCCACAGATGCATCTGAATCAGATGTGTAAGCTTCCTCCAGCCCGGGAGACGGAGTGAGTGCTCTGGGCTCCTGAGAAGGCACATTTGAATGGGGAGGACAGTCAGGTAAGAAACCCTCCTTGATGCCAGGGGAAGGGGTAGCTGGGACTGGTTCTGCAGGAGGGCGTTGTATAGGAGCCAGCACCGAGCGATATCGAGCAGCCGGGCTAGAAAGGGCGGGCTCCCCTGATGTTGGTCCATGAGCCCTCAACCCAGGGTCTCATGAAGGCTCACCTTCCAGATAGTAGTATACGCTCGGAGGTTTTCAATGTCGAGGAGGTGACGGCAGAGGAGAATAGGAGCCGTAATAACTGGACCACTGACAAAACCTGTAAAAGTCAGGGTCATAGGGCACCGGGTACCAACGATGACCGAGCCCAAACTCCTCAGGCTCAAAGAAATGCCGATAGTCTTCCCAGCGAGATCTGGAGCGGTCTCGTCATGGTGAGAAGTCTTCCGGCCAGAATCGCCAATGGTGGTAGCTCTCGGGCTCGGGCAGCAATTCCAGATGGCTTGCCTTTTGCCTCTACTTTCTAGGCAACTCGGCTAGAGAGGCAAGTGGAGATGGAGACGCCTGTCTTGACATTGAGCCCGGGCTAACTTGCGCCACCGCCTGTACCTCACCAGAGGCATCCGCCCAGCTCGGGGAGAGGGACAGACGCGGAAGATGGCACAGTCAACAGCCTGGAGCCCGCAGTATCCTTATCGCTGGATGGCACACTTGGGCTGAAGGAGTCTCTCCGCAGTCGGGGCCAAGACGGGGGCAATGGCAAGGCAACAGATCGTAGGCCCGAGGGCTCCCGGGGCAATTTTCTCTTTTTCCTTGCTGTCGAAGCCAAGGGTTGTTTCAATACCAATGCCGAGCCCGTTGACTTTGAGCCCAAAGACGATGCCTTCACAGATTTTTTAGCCTGCTTGGGCAAAGAGGCTCCAGCTGACTAAGTCTCACCCGGAGTAGTCTGCGGTGGCTCCATAGCCAACTCTCGAGAGGAGAAAATATAACGTAAACACTGGAGTCTCTGCTTTAAGGGGCCCAACGAGGCCATAAACAAGTCCAAAAAAGACGAACAGGGAAACAAATCAGTTGTATGCTCTTTTGCCAAACTCACAAGTCAAAACGGATGGTCAACAGTCCAAAGTCGTAGAAACCGGGAGGTCCAAGTATATTATAGGGAAGAAAATGCTGCACAAAAGTTCCGATTTGCTGCTACAGCAGTGGCAGAAATGGAACTGAGGCACTCGGTGCCGGGGTGGAATTATAGGCAGTGTGGGGGAGGTCCTGGCACCATGTGCCAGAGCTCTAGAAAATTCCAAGATTGCTTTGTGCGGGCGCAAGTTAACCCATTAGTGTGCATTCACAGAGACCATGAAGAAGAACTGTTGTTGCAACACTCTGTGCATCACTTTGCTTGCATGGAAAATTAAAGTAATGGTTGTGTAGTTACTGCACTCCTTGGCCTCTCCTTTCCCAGGAGTTGGAATGTATATTCAGCATTTTCAGTCTGTGTGCCAATGTTTTGTTTTTCATATTTGTTGGCACATTCTTGTTAGGATTTTGACAGATTCAATCTCTCTGGCTTGAAACAGTTCTGTTTCAAAGAAAACCTGAATAATACTTTCTGTACACAGGAGTAAGACTTCACTGCCCCGGATGAGGATGCAAATGTGTTCGGTTTGCATAATTTATACAAGCTGTAAAATTCAGCCCCATAAATTCAGGTTTATCTTTATCTTCTTAGCATACAGCTTTGATTATGTCAACAATGCATTCAATACATATACAGTACATGCAATTTCCGCAAGAACTCATACAGAATGAAAAGGCATTGCTGCAAGGCCCCTTCTCATTACTTCAATGACAGCACCTTCCCAGCTTGCTTTCTCTTCACCACAAAGATTTTACTGCCGATAACAAGACACAGTAGCAGAAAGTTGTTCTGTTTTTCCAACTAATCCCTCCCAGTACTGAACGACAAAGCATTATGTTTGTAGAAATAAAGTGCTCCCTCCGTGTGACAATTTGTGCAGTAGTTCTTACCAGCTGAATGAATGCCACATGTAGTGGAATGCTTTCTGTCAAGACAAGAAAAAAAGTGTTCTTCGCTGTCCTTCACAGAGTATAAGTATTTGGGCTGCTATTTATTCCTCTGAGCTGGAAGTCATTCTAGAATGTCACAGCCAAATGAATATCTATAGACTTACCTCCAGGCAGTCGTTAAAAAGGAAAAGAGTGACCTGTTCCCCTCTGTCACAAAGGTCATCACCAAGTGCAACCGTTTCCAGGCGCTGAATTAGACTTCGGTGAGATGACAAGAGATTGGCCTGTGGAGAAAAGAAACACATTTTAAAAAGCAGTAATTCAAGAGGTTGCTGCATCACTACAAAATAATGATGAAACAGAGTGATCTTTCAACCTGAATGATTTCTGTCTTATAGTGCCTGCTTTGTTAGTTGTTGTACAATTAATGTATTCTGCGGATTAAAGATTCTATCCCAGCACTGTAAGGCAGATAACAAACATTGTGGATTTCTGTATGAATTAATTCACTGTCCCAAAAGTTCAAAATACACAGGATAAAATGAATCTATGAAGAAAATGCTGCCTGCTCCAAGTGTTTTTAAAGCTCCAAAAAGGAAATCTCTCAATTACTAACAACACTGTCCTGTCTCTAAATACATTAGGTTATGGGTGGGAGTAGGGAAGAGAGAGAGAGAGAGAGAGGAGAGAGAAGATTCTCTTACCACCAACATTTTGTTTTTCTGCCTCCTATTACCAGTGAGTGGCCATCTACATATAAAAATAGCCATTCTGAATCAGAGCAAAGATCTATCTAATTTAGTGCCCCATTCTCCAAATGGTCAATTAGTTGCATATAGAAAGCCTACATGCAGGACTTTATTGGATTATCACCCTGTTACCAGGACTTGGAAGATTATTTTTAAAGGGAACTGTTGTGTGTTGCTCATTACTTTGTGACAACCAACTTATTTTTATTATTTCTGTTCCCTCTAGCATCCAATCTTGATACTGTATCTTGAAAATACAGTGGTGCCTTGACTTACGAACATCCCAACTTATGACCAATTCAAGTTATGACCAGTTCCGGCCGCAAAATTATGCTTCGACTTGCGACCGGCACTTCGAATTACAAACAGGGAAAAAAAGGTGAGGAAGGAAGGGAAATTGAACTGCTTTCAGTTAACTGTTGGTCAGCAAAGAGGCTGCTTCTCTGTAGCTCTTTCGCCCCAGCAGTTAGTGTGGGTTCAGAGGGAGACTTCGGACTGCCTGGTACTGTACTGTTACTGTACTTTTTTTGCATTTTAGTTTTTTAAAATATTTGCTTTTTGGATTTCTTTTTTAAAACAGAGAGACTGCCTGTTCTGGGTGAGTATTGTATGTACAGGGTTTCTGCCCGTGAGTTTGGGCTGGGGGGGGTATGTTTCTGTGCTGTGATGGGTCTTGCAGTGTGCAGTTAGTTGTAGCATTTTTAGTTCCTGCTAGAATGTGTGTGTTTTTTTTTTATTCTGTGGCTCCTAGGGTTTGTGTACTGTGATCTCTCTTTTGTTTTAAAAGGTGTTGGTTTAAAATGTGTTTTAGACTCCAAAGTCTCTCTCCCACCCCCCATTGTCTTTTCTCTCTCTTTATCCTCTCTTTTTGTGCTTAACAGCACAAACCCTTGTCTGAGGGGTTTGTGTGCCCCAGTGATGACTTTCTTTCTTTCCTCTTTTTCCCATTGTTCCTTCCCTCCCTCCTTTCCTGCCCTTTTTTTAACCCAAGTCATCTTAGGTTAAAAAAAAGTCTCCCCCTAGAGGTAGTGGACAGATTAACCACTTTTCTATTACAGTGGTACCTCGACTTACAAACTTAATCCGTATTGTAATAGTGTTCATAAGTCGAAATGTTCGTAAGTTGAAACACCATTTTCCATAGGAATGCACTGAAAACTGATTAACCCATTCCAGCTGGAAAAAAAATCACCAAAAAATTAAAAAGAACACTCCGTGGCTGAGGTTTAAGAAGAAAAAAAACCTCCAAAAACATAAAGTAAAGCCACCTCCGTTGCTGAGGTTTAAGAAGAAAAAAAACCTCCAAAAATAAACAGCAAAGCCACCAACAACACAGCACAGAAACATACCCGCCCCAGCCAAAACCCACCCAGAACAGGTTTTTAAAAGGAAAAAACAGCCGCTTACCTCCCTGGAGAAACACACACACACTCTGAAGCAGGAGGCTCTCCCAAGCCAATGATGACAACAACACACTCTAAGACTGCCAAAAGTGAAAGAGCTACAGGACAAAGCAGCCTCATCGCCGCCTGCAGTTAGAAATATGAATTGCCCGCCTTTTTTCCCTGCCTTTTTTCTGTATGTAAGTAGAAGCTCTGTTCGCAAGTAGAAGCAAAATGTTGCAACTGGAGCTGTTAGTACAGTGGTCAGGGAACAGGGGTAAATTAACCCAAATGGGGTAAAAATGAAAATCCTGGGGGTAATGGGGATGGTCGCTGCAGGCATTTTACCCCCAGGCATTTTATTTCTGACAATGCTGTGTGTAGGTGGCATTCCGTCATGGGGAGAGTGAGCCCTGGCTAGGAACCGCACAGGGCACCTGCGTGTCCTCCTCACCTCCAAAGTGGGGGGGAGGGCAGTGGACCAGGCCAGCTGGACTCTTTGCCCGGCGGAGCCCTGGCCAGGGCTCTCCTTCCTGCCTGCGCCCACCTGCCCAGTGCACTGGCAAGGAGGCCCCCTTCCCTCCCCTCTGACTGGCTGCCTGGACGGTGGCCACAAGTCCCGGGCGAGCGCAGGAGGGGCAGGGTTCGGCCGTGTACGGCAAGAGCCAAGGGGGGGGGTTAATGTCAATGTAAATAAATTTGGGGGGGGGGAAGGTAAAAAAGTTCCCTGACCCCTGTGTTAGTAAGTCGAAATGTTTGCAGGTAGGGACGTTCGTAAATCAAGGCACCACTGTAGTTCCTATGGGAACGAATGCTTCAACTTGTGTTCAGCGCGTTGAGATACGACCAAAAAACGGCCGGAACAGATTAATCATGTTTCAGTGCATTCCAATGCGAAATAGTGCTTTGGCTTACAACCGTTTCAAGTTACGACCATCTTCTGAAACGGATTTACAACCGTATCGAGTTACGATCATCTTCTGAAACAGATTAAGTTTGCAAGTCGAGGCATCACTGTACTTAGAAAAATACAAAAGACTACATGAAACAAGACTTCCCCTGTGGTTTAGGATTAAATTGCATTCAGCTTCAAGATCCTATGCCAAAATACTTTAAAATGTTATTTAAAAGTAACTAGTCGGACACAACTTAACAAATTAAACAACAACAACTGGAAGTAACCAAAGAACAGTGATCACTATTCCAAAGAAAACAACTTTGTAATTTTTGGTGTCTGAAGAAGTGAATTTATTTATTTAAAATATTTTTATCCCAGCTTTCTCCTTAAAAAGGTCCAAATCCGGCTTACATAATCAAAAGAACAATATTTAAAAGAAAAAACACTAGTATACAAATATTGAAAAATAAGTAAACAAATATTATATTAAAAATGGCAAATAAAATCAATACTAAAACACATTTAAAACAACAAAATACAACATTCCATTAAGGAATCTATCTAAAAAGAAAGGTCCTTGCCTGCTTGTGGAAGGACAGCAAAAATAGGACCAGCCTAGTTTCCTGTGGGAGCGAGTTCTAGAGTCTGGAAGCGGCAAAAGAGAAGGCCCTCTCCTGTGTTCCCACCAAGTGCACCTGTTCTGGGACCGATGAGAAGGTGGTGGGACCAATATGAAAGGCCTGCCCACTTGTCCACGAAAGCTCACATTAAAATATAGCAGTCAGTCTTGAACCCTTTTGCCTTCTTTATTTTTTTGTTTGTAACTAAGTGCCAGAATTCTATTATTTACTTATGTTGGCACAGGTTCAATGGCATATATTCTAGTGGTGAACTGCCATCAGTTGAGAAGTCAAAGCTTCTATTTCTTGTCACATATCAGTCATACAACAGGCATACAACAAGAAATACAAGCAACAACTTCTTTATTAGCAAAGATTTGCATGCTGTTGGACTTAACACCAGTATAAGAGTTCTGGCTATGAATATATCACTTTTGAAACATAACTTAGTTACATCTTTGTTATCCCAAAGTAACTCATTACATGTTACACGTAACTAGGAACTTCCAAAAATTTGCCTTTTGCTTACATTCCCTAGCAACTGACATTAAGGGGCTTATAGTGGTGCCTCGCATAGCGATCGCTCCGTATAGCGATGAAATCGCTATGCAATGGACTTTTTGCCATCGCAAGAGCGATTGCTTAGCGATGGCCCCTATGGAGAAAATTCGCTTTGCGATGATTACGGGGAAGCAATCATCGCAAAGCCCCCATTTTCGCACAGCTGATTGGGGGTTCCAAAATGGTCACCGGGTAAACAAAATGCCCACCCGCTGTTTTGCCTCGCTTTAGAGGCACAGAAAATGGCTGCCACAATGGAGGATTTTCACTTAAGGTTAGTTTTGAAGCCCATAGGAACGCATTAAACACGTTTTGATGCGTTTCTATGGGCTTTTTAAAATCGCTTAGCGATTTTTGCTGCACGGATTAACATCGCTAAGTGAGGCACCACTGTATTGCCCTGGTGCTGGAGGTAATGTGCACATACTATGATAGCCTTATCTCAAAAGAAGATCACATCCCAAACATACTCAGCCCCAGCTACATCATTACTTACTGGACAGCCATCTACTTCATAAACAACATCAAAAATCTGCCTTTGAGCTTCTGTTTTTCTTTTATCTTCATTAATGTGCCTGGAGAAAAATAAAACAGAACAAGCCTTCACTTGCTAAGGTTCAGATACGGGATGAAAAGAACAGCCAATTATTTGATTCACATGATAAGTGAACATCAATGTAGAAAACTGCTGTACAGCATGAGTATATTTCTGTGTTCATACATCTCCTGAAAAAGTTTCCTTTCAGTAAGTCAACCGCTCCTAAACTAAAACAACTGTGAGAACTACATATTACATTTCTATTTTGCCCTTCTGCCAAGTTGCTCAGGGTCACATGCTTGGCTCTGCCTCATCACACTGTATCCTCATTAACTTTGGGAAGTAGTTAAACTAAAGGATAAACTAAAAGATAAATGATGGCCATAAGATACCCAGTGAGTCTCATGGTTTGGCAAGGATGTAAACCGAGCTCTCCCTGTCCTAGTCTGACATTCAAACCACTGTATCACATCTGAGCTCCGTTAATAATTTTCCATTAACAACTTGTACAAGAAACTCCAGTCTTGCAGTATCATAGAAGAATGCACAAACACCACTATAGCATCTCTAATCCACAATCCAGTTCAGCTGTGGAATTAACACTCATCTTTAAAAGTCCTAAAATCAGTCTAGTCAGGTTCGATTTGTGAAAGGTATATACTGTACTGAGAATTAAGAAATGAGACACAAAGGATTTGTTTAAAAGGCTAGAAATGACATGAACTCTCTTTCTACTCCTGATTATTCTAATCCTTTTTCACTGCCATATATATAGGTAGATACAGATTCAATTATTCAAAACAACCTCCAGTTTATGAATGTGGAATACACTATTGTACTTTGCATCTACAACTCAAAAAGCCAGGAACTGGCCCGGTATTGCTCCACAATATCATTTCATGTTGTCAACAGAACAAAGGATGCCAAGCTTTACATAGCAACGTGCAACCTGAACATTGACAACACTAATGTCAGTAGTCAAGATGGTCTACAGCAGTGGTTCCCCTTTTCCCAACCGTGGACTGGGTTGGGGGGGGTGGCACACTCGCAGGGAGGGTGTGGTGCACCCACAGGGGTGTGTGACGGGACTGCAGGGGGCAGAGCGCACTTGTGCACATGCACTCAGCACACTCGCAGAGGGGTGCTCATGCACATGGTGCACTCATGGGGCGTTCACGTGCATGCACATGGCACACTCGTAGGGGTGCTCGCACACATGTACACAGCACACTCGCGGGGGGGGAGGAGATCTGTGTCCGTGGCCCGGTCCTGCCTAGACCGTGGACTGCTGTCAGGTCACGGACCGGGGGTTGGGGACCCCTGGTCTACAGGATACCTTCTTGCACATTATCATTCACAAAATGAAACCAAACAAGGGAAAATCCCAGTAGATGACTCCTTTTTTCATCAGTTAAGCACTTCTCATCTAAACTCAAAGTAACTGTCAGGGCTGTTTTTTTGACAAAGATGCATGGTTCCTTGAAGAATGCTGATTTGCTCTGCTGCAAAAGAACATAGTGCAGTGATAACAGACATGTTGCCACTGCTTTTCTTTCTTTCGTCTGCTTTTATAAACAAATCTAGAAACATTTATCTACTGCATATCCCTTTTCCAGTAGATCCCAATCCATCTTCTACTCACCCCACTCTAGCTATAGGTTAATATGCCACTCAAATATATATTGCAATGCCAAGTATTTAAGAAAAATGTGCCTGTGGGGCATTCCACAGCCCATCATTTTCACATGAACTTTTCTTGCCTTGAGCAATGAGAGGCAGTTTAGAATACCTCCCATAGCCTTGAGAAATTCTTGCACCAGAAGAAAAAGCACTGACAAATGGTTTTTTTCCTTACAAGATTCTCAACAGTAATGAGTAGCTGTCTATTAAATAAAGCATCTTTCATTATAAAATGAAATATCAAAAAGATATTCCTTGCCAGAAGCGAGGAATGTTAAGTTTTCTAGGTGAATCAAGTGTTCAGGACTTATTGTAATCAATCCATTCGGAGACTGAAATACTGTTACTTTTGGCACAACATAAAGTTCACCTGTGAGCATAAAGACAGAGGATATTCATTTGTAGGCATCCTCAAGAGACTATGGCAGGGGTGGTGAACCTTTTTGGGCTCGCGTGCCCAAACTGGGAAAAAACACAAAAAACAGGGGGCAGTGTACCGCCACTGCAGACCTGGAATTGGTGGCGGCGGACCAGAAGTGGCAGTGGAAGGGGCAATCTCGACACGGAAGTGCCTCAAGACTCCACTTTGGATCCGCTGCTAGCACTAGGGTCTTGTACGCATGCACTAGACTAAGCCCTTGCAGAGGTGTTGTTCTCCTCCACCTCCTGCCTGCACCCAGCGCTGCCCCCTTTTCCTCTCCAGTGCCACCTGGGACTTTGTCGCTTTAAGGGAGGGAGGGGGTGTCCTACATCATTAGAGGGAGGCAGAAGGCAAGTTATTTTCTTGCATTCCTTTGTTTCTATCCACTGGTGCTCGCAGGATTCAAGGGAAGGCACCATCTCCTTACTACCCCCCCCCCAGACATACACCTTCTCAGGTTTGGCTGTGCCGGGCGGAGGGAGTAGCGATATGGTGACCTATGGCTCGCATGCCGGCAGAAAGGGCTCCATGTGCCAGCTGTGGCACGTGTGCCATAGGTTTGCCATCACTGGACTATGGTAACATGCTCTGAATAGAGGACTTGGAACAGCGTCTAGTGTGGCTGAGAGGGCCAATACGAGAGTGACAATCCCTTCAACACGTAAGAAAAATAAATCTGTCCGCTGTCCAGCTCCCCGATTCTGCTGGTTTCGGGACTGCCTCTTTGCCTCGGCCTGCTGGACAAGGGTCCCTTCAAATTGGGAGACGCCATGCTGCACCACCTGCCTCCAGGCTGAACGCTCAGATGTCAAGGTTTCCCATATGTTGAGGTCCATTCCTAAGGCCTTCAGATGCTGCTTGCATATATCCTTGTATTGCAGCTATGGTCTCCCTCTGGGGCAATTTCCCTGCACTAATTCTCCATACAGGAGATCTTTTGGACTGAGGATATACACTGGACATTACATATGCAATTGGATTACAAAAACAATTGTACAGTTCTCCCCATGACCATTGCACAGCACACATCTGGAATCACTTTCTGAACAGCACTTCGACCCTACAACACTTTTCACTACCAGAACTGTTCAACAGGATTTCCACCAATACATGTAATTTCATTTCTTTTCTTGGACACAGAAGTATAACTCAACATCTAATTACTTCCTCACCATAGCAGTCCTGCCATAGCTTTCTAAATTTTGCTTTCACAAACCTTAAGTAGAGACCCCACTGTAATTTCATTTCATTTCTTGGACACAGAAGTATAACTCAACATCTAATTACTTCCTCACCATAGCAGTCCTGCCATAGCTTTCTAAATTTTGCTTTCACAAACACAAGTGAGAAATATACCATGTGACAGACTGTAAGAAAAGTACATGCATAGTCAATAGGCCACACACATTATTTCCAAACTAACACTTTCAAAACTGGAAAACATTCTTCTCTAGATTGTATTGACTTACGTCATCACTTCCTTCAGAGATTCAATGGCTCTCTCTAAAGTTGTTTTGTCAGGATTGTCTTCCGCTGTGTGCTTTTTAATGTCTACAATAGGAAAATACTCAGAGTATTACTTTTCATAATGCCAATGTGTTTGGTATATCTTTGTTGAAGAGCCTGTATTTTTAGAGAACTTCTGAAGAGGCTGCAGATTTTAAAGAAATCTGTGATCTAAGGATGGCATGTGGTTTTTAAAATGAGGGCTACAACAACTGATACCCACTAAAATCACTTACCTTTTCAAAAAAAATTGTACATCCCTAGTTTTCATGGTTCCCTTTTCCCAATAACTCTCCTACACAGTCCAGCCATCTGTTATTTTACAATACTGACAAGTGGACTCAAATTTTGGAAACTATAATTTATATCACTTGAGAGCTCTGTTTGATAACTCTGGTTGTAAATCAGAGAACAATTGTTTAATCAAATTATTACTATCTCAGTTATCTGTAACTCATGACAGGACTTGTTTGAGTGGGTACTTTTTTGCTTTGATTTCCTTAGTCACTAATTGGCGGGTAGGTGGGACTCATCAGCCTTGGGAGGCATCCCATCTAGGAGAAGGAAAACTCTGATTTCAAAGCTCCACTGCCTTGTGCCCATATCCACTGATGGAAAAGGCTTCAGGAGTTAACC